GGTCGAGAAAACCTCATCGGTTGCTGGTCGATGCAAGCCGATATCGAGATATATATGCTCGATACCCAAAAGTCTTCTTGATCTGGTAAAGAAAGATTGCAATTTGGAAAACAAAGAGGTTGTGATACCGACAACGGAGGAAGCGATCACTACCCACGTGGAAGGGTATCTGAGTGTTTACACTTATCCTTTCACGTTGGATCCCCTCGATCCGATCATCTCGATTTCTGCAAGAAAATACCAGGTGATCCTCAGCCAAATTCACCCTTCTTTTTGGAGGATCGTGATATTGCTCCGTTTCTTCGTGAGTAAAATTGATGGGCTCCCTTTCACCCCCGACCACCTCGTAAGATTAAACAGCCCTCGAATCTATTGAGGTGGGTTGATAAAGCTTCAACGCCGGGCCACCAAGGCGTTTATCTCGAGTATAGATGAAGACAAAGATCGGGGTTGGATGGGCCGGTTCGTCCCGGTGAAGACCTCGGACTTGATCCTGACCGAGAGCATGCCATTTCCTGAGAAATGGAATATAAAACGTAAGTATGATCCCGTTTTTAATTTTTGTTCGTTGTTTTTACTTCTTCATCCTTTCTCGTCAGCATTTTTCTCGATGCAGTCGTTGCTTGGATGCCGGGTGCGGTTCCCCACCTCGAGAGCTGGGTGAGGAGCCTGGTTTTGACGTCAACATACGCCGAGCGTGCGTGGCACAATTTGTCAAAGGGTCGGTGGGAGGCTCGTACTCATGGTAGGCCTTCTTCTTAGATTACCGATTTGCCTATCGTTCGAGCATTTTCTCAAGCATGAATTTACTTACTTTCTCCTTTTGTAGGTCTCGGAAAGGATGCGGCTATGAGACTCTCGTCCGGTGATGAAGAAGCCTTACCGCCTATCTCGAAACCGGCGAAGGTGATTAAAAGAAAAAGAGCCTTGGACTCCGAGGATCGAAAAGCCAAGAAAAGAACGACCCATAAACCCAAGGGTAACACAATCCCACTGACTATGGAGTCGGTCCAAAGACTAAGGTATGAAGAAGAAGAAGAAGAAGAAGAAGAAGAAGAAGAAGAAGAAGAAGGTGATTTTGGGTTGGTGGCCCGTGCACGAGCTAGCACCGATATTCAGAAGACGTTGGAATTAGTGAGAGTCAATACTGCTCCGTCTAGGTTCGACGAGGTCGAAGAGGAGGCTCCGGCCCAAGTTCCCGAACCGAGGGGAGCCGAAGATACTTTACCTCGGGGTGAAAAGACCACTGAAGAGGCGGTGGATGCCGATGCAGAAACCAGGCTTAAAGCTCGTCGAGAGGGAGGCGGTGCCCCAAAAAAACTACTCGAGGGTAATAGAGATCGGGGATTCCCCCTCGTTCCCTTCATTTTCCCAGTCGATAATACGTGACGCTCAAACCGTTAACTTGGTTTACCACGAGGAGGGAATCACACTTAGCTTCTATGACCTCTGCTCCCAAGTTTTTAGCTAGTTCGTGACCTGCAATCATGGTCTTATATTCGGCCTCATTGTTAGTCAATTTTGCAGTTTTGATAGACTGTCTTACTAAATTACCTATGGTTGATTTTAGCATGATTCCTAGTCCGGACCCCCTTCGTGTTTGAAGCATCGTCCGTAAAGAGGGTCCACACTCCCGAAGATGTACCCGATTTTATCAGTAGTTCTTTTTCAACCTTGGGTACGAGGGCCGGCGTAAAGTCAGCCACGAATTTGGCCAACATTTGAGACTTGATTGTTACATCCCGTACCTTAGCATTAGGATGTACCGTAGTAAATTCACATGAGTTCGAAGGGATTATGTCTATTAGGAGGTTATAGAGGGTTTAAGACATTATTATTATGAGACCCTGTAAGTTTACAACCTTGATACCGTTAGATATTATGTTAGTGTGGTATTTTCTTTTAAGTAAAATATTTTAGTAAAAGTTTTATAAGTATAATTTTGGACATTTACCACTATTACTATTTTCGGATATGATAAATTATACACCTAATATGAGAAAGTTTATGAGATTTTCTTTNGTTGTGGGGCCACATAAAAAGAGTTGAATAATAACTACAATGTCTTATGAAAGAATTCTCACAAACACTTTCCATAACTTCATTAACGTAATTTCTCCTAAAGTTTCTGATAGGAATGAGAATCTTAATCTCTTAAAAGTTTAACAAAACTTTCCATACCTTTTAATGTCATTTTCTGAAGAGCTTAATTCAAGCTTCTCATAGTTACTTAAGGAGAGGTTTCAGCCAAGATAGTCTTTGCATAAGCAACGAGCTTTTCATACAACGTGTTCCGTGTTTTGTTGCAATTAACATGTGTTAGAGGAGTGTCAAAAGAATCGACTCAGGTATGTTAAGACTAACCCTTTTTTTCTTTTGGCATAATCCAAGTAACGAGGTGTAAACGTAATGTTATTCCATAAGTGGTTCTACTCTTAGTAGTTAAGGATGTCTATGTTATTCATTCCGGTAAAGTGATATTCAAGCATGTCTAAGTATGTATCTAGTTCCCTATTGAGATATTTGATAAAGATATTAATGTTTATAATATAGTGATACATGTACATGCATCTTCATGCATTTATCACCGTGCTACGGCCGGTCGGGCAGTTACCACTGGTTGAGCAGTTATGTATCATTATTTACCACTGGTTGGGCAGTCATGTATATTCATTTACCACCGAACTACGGCCGGTCGGGCAGTCATGCATTTACCGCCACGCTACGGCCAGTTGAGCAGTTACCACTGATGAGTTGGGCAGTCATACATCATACGATATGGATAATAGTCTCAAAGAGAAAGCATTGTATATATGTAAGTATAATAAGTATGCATATACAGTGGTACTTCAGAGATTCAGGTTGATTCTTATATGTCTTTAATTAATGTTGACTTACTGGTATGTTTCAGTTCTGCCTTACATACTCAGTACATTATTCGTACTGACGTCCTTTTGTTGGGGATGCTACATTCATGCATGCAGGTATAGATAATCAGTTTGACGATCCCTCATAGTAGACGAGGTTAGCATTCAGCGAAGGATCGGTAAGACTCCACTTCATTCGGAGTGCAGCCGAGTCTATAAGTCATCGTGTCAGAATTTTGTTACAGATTTATGGGTAGGCCGGTACCATGTCCCATTTGATGTCAAATAATCTTAGAGGCTTTGTAGACAGAGGTTCATTTTGTACAGTATGTCAGAGGCCCTAGCGTCCCCTATGTATTCATGTTTTAAGAAAAAATGGTTCAGTGATACAGTATTGCCCACTTATAGATATACATTATGAGTTGTGGCCATGTTGGCCCATGATAGTTACAGAAGAAAAAATAAATAAGTTACACAGTGGTTCGCTCGGGCCAGCACGACACTGGGTGCCAGCCACGCCTCCCCAGGTTTGGGGCGTGACATTGATGGCGGTTCGGGGTCGATATTCAATATCGTACCCACTGATTTCTACTGCCCATTTGGCCAATCGACCCGAAAGCTCGAGTT